GCAAACACAAAACACTAAACTGAGATTTTTGTCTCTTTGGTAATCATATTAAATCTGACAGTTGTTGATTTATGTGTAGAAACACGTCAATGTGAATAAAGACATTAAAACTGTTAAAACTTAAAACTAAAAAACGAAATTAAAATGTATATCACTGACATCAGATGCACAATTTAATGTGCACAATACAATAGTACTATGTTTTGTACATTTTCATTTTGTTGTCTTTGTTTGTTTTTAAACATACTTAACATGTTCACAGACAGAAAAAAATCAGAAATCAGAAAAGAGTAGCGTGACAAATTTTTGTTGTGCAATCACACAGTTCCTCCTAATTACTTTAATAAATATGATACCAAGCAGTGTGCTATCATGTACAGTTCATTTATGATGGTTTTTTTGAAAGTCTTACTAAAGTCATGATACAAAACTTTAAAATACGATGCTGTTATTGTTTCTTTTTTAAATTCTTTTTTCTGCTTTATTGAGGGTTTTTATAGTATTTTATGTGACAAAAACAACTAATGGGCCTCTATTCCTATAAAGTGAAGCAGAAAAAGATAGTAAAGTATGATGGCTGCAAAGATTAAAAAGTGTGTGTGTTCATTTTCTGTCTAGGTGTTGAGGTAAAGTCACCCTCTAGGCAACAGAACTGCCTCCATGGTTAAAGGGCTCCCTCGCTGTCATCGCCAAGGACCGGCCCTATGTGGACGGACAGCTCTACTGCCACCCGGCACCACTCCCAGTTTTATTGACTTCACACCAGATAAGAATCCACCACACTTTTTTTTTCATTCACACTCTCTTGTATTAACACCTGTTTAAACTGTCAATGTCAATGTGCTGATTTAGTATGATGTCATAGCCTTTTCCTTTCTTTCCTTCTCTTTTCTTTTGATCAGCTGTTTCCATAGTCAGCCAATGTCTCTCCTAAGCTTGCAGATTTAACTAAATTAAACCACATCCCACTTCTAAAGAAAGTAGAAGGCGATCTGGATAGATGGATATCTCTACCCATATCACTCAGTGGGAAGGGTCGCTTCAATAAAAATGATGGTCCTGCCAAGAATCAATTATTTATTTTCAATGATACCGAGTAAACCATTATCAGACCGGATCAGATCTAAATTCTAAATTCCTTTAGAAAGATAAACACCTGTGTATCAGCTTAAAAATGCTACAAAGGACCAAGGATAAAGAAGGACTAAATCTACCTAACTTTCAACAATA